TCCCCGAGGGACTTGTCCCCTCCTCGCTCCCGGGGAGTGTGACGGACTGCAGCGCAGGTTCTTCTCGAGCGGAAGGCGGGGAAACTCAAAGGGTCTCGAGGCCCCCCGGGTTCGATGGCATCGCCGAGATTAAGCGTGGGGCCGGGCGCCCACATGCCCTCCGGAGCCCCGCTGGCGTGCGTGCCGGGGGCCTGTCATCCCCCGGGACATGGCCGTCCCCTGCCCACACGTCCCTCGGGCGGCTTCACCCTTCCCACTGATTCGGAGCCGCTCGCTGCCAGCAACAGGGAAGGGGCGTTTACTGGGGAGCTGGAGGTCCGGATGGAGCGAACTCGGGGCGCAGCGGGACGCCCTCCCCTTACGGAACAGCTCTCAGAAATGCTTCTTTTCTTTTCTATTAAACGGCAAAAACATACAGATTTTTCCTCAAAACAAATGTGGGGCGTGCGCGGTCCTGGTCTAGAGCAGCTGGTGCGGCGTGTTTACTTCCTGTGTCCCGGGTGCTCTTCAAGGAGGAGGGGGCAGTTTGTGACCGGGGTTTCCTTCTGCCTCTCGAAGTAATTCGGTAAAGTTAATCGGAATCAGACGGTCCCTTCTGAGCGGCCGTCAGACGGGCTGGGCTTTTTCACTCCTAGACTGGTACGTCTGGGTGAGCCCGAGTGTGTGTCTTGGCATCGGGGCCCGTCTAGTCATGGAAAACAAACGGACGCCCTTGGCTGCCTGTTTGCACCCATCTCGCTGCGCCTGTCCTCTCCGAAGGGCCGGGCGGGGAGGAAGAAAGCAAATGTTCGAGCCGCGTGTGTTTACCCTCTGCGGTTTACAGTCAGGTGAGAGGTAATTAGGGCCTTGGAAGCTGAGAACCTGAGGACCGGCGTTTGATGACTTGGGGATTAGCAGTGTGGAGGTGACATGTTTGAAAGAAAGGGTTACGTAAGGAGGGAAAGATAAGGAGAAGGAAGTTTGGGCCCAGGTGACTGGAAAACCTTGGGAAGACCATAAACAGGAGCACCTTAGAGTGACCGATGTGGCTTGTGTCTCAGCAGGAGGCTGAAAATGAAAGCGGGCTGCAGCATCGTGGAGAAGCCAGAAGGAGGTGGAGGTGAGCAGGCGTGAATCATCGCCGTGCCCTCAGAACGTCCCTCGCCGGTTCCTTTTCTCTCCACTTGGGCTCTGTTTACAAATGCCAGACTGTGACGACAGCCCCTTGCCTGGGTGGACGCTGCTAGGACATTGTAGGCCTGCTGCCTGGGGACGCGTATCTGACATGTCTGGTCACCACACCTTTCTCCCCAGCTCTTCTTCCGGTTCGAGACACAATTCCAACCTTGGGGGGAGGGGCTTTCAGCTGTGTTTTCCTAAAACGTTCCTGTGTCCTTTCCTGCTCGTCCCTGTGGGAACCGTTGTGGCTTCGCAGGAAGCAGCGTGGGACTGAGTAACGTGTGGGGGGGTAAGCGAGTAGGACACGCGGGTGCCGCCACCCGGCAGTCGTCGGCCTTGGCAACTGCGGTGAGGAAAGGTGACTTGTCTGTGCTCTGCTGCCCCTTGTTGTCAGCGCCAGCTGGCCGGAGGGCGTCGGGGACTGAGCCCGGGCCCGGAGTGGGGGTTCCCGGCACACGTGCACCCAGCCCGACTCCCCTGTCTCGCCCCTTTCGCGCCAAAGGGTATCAGTTCCCGGACTGGGCCTACAAGACAGAGTCGTCCCCCGGCTCCCGGCAGATCCAGCTGTGGCACTTCATCCTGGAGCTGCTGCAGAAGGAGGAGTTCCGCCACGTCATCGCCTGGCAGCAGGGGGAGTACGGGGAGTTCGTCATCAAGGACCCGGACAAGGTGGCCCGCCTCTGGGGCCGCAGGAAGTGCAAGCCACAGATGAACTACGACAAGCTGAGCCGGGCCCTCAGGTGACAGGGGGTGACCCCAGGTCCATAGGGGTGACAGACGGGAAAGGGACCAGCAGCTTGGTGAAGAGTAGGTGGAAAGGGTGTCAGGTGACAGGAGCCCGTGCTGCCTGGGGCCGAGGTGAAGTCCGGCGGGAGCGGAAGAGCTGTCGCACCTGAGTGGCAGGGGCCCCGGAGGAGAGGGGCGTCTCCGCTTCGACCTGGGGTCCCAGCACGGCGGGCACTCGGTCCCGACAGGCCTGCTCTGCTTGGCCGCGGGAGTGTGGCCAGACTTGGACGGGAGCACATTACGCCCGGGAGATGACTTTAGACCTCCCTGTGGGCAGTCCGCTAGCGTTCTTCCTCTCCAGGCCCCCGGGACAGAGGACAGAAGGTTCAGGCCGCGGGAGGAGGGTGGAGGCCGGAGGGCTCCCCGACGCCCAGGCCGCTGGTTGCTTGGGCGGGGCCGGGGACTGCCCTGCACACTCTGTCATGTTCTCTGTTCCCTGGTGGTCTGTACGTTTCATAACCCTTAGCCCTCGAGGGACCGGGGGACGGTGTGAACCTGCGCTCCCAGTGGGTGCGGGGCCGAAGGTTCCCCGTGTGGCAAGGTTCCTGGGGGGCGGGTTTCTGTCCTTAGCGACCCCGAATATAAAATCTGCCGCAGCCTGGCCAGAGCCTCTCGCGTGTCGTTCAAAGTGAAGCAGGCCAAGCCGGCGGCTGCTTTCCATTGTTTGCCCTGCCACCGTAAAACAGTTCCACGTTCCTTCCCCTGTGCTCTCGAGACTAACCGCATCAGGTCTCCCAGGAGACTCTCTGCCCCCACCTGGGTGAGGCAGAAAAGAGAAACGGGGCAGTGACGCGCAGTAGAACAGGAAGGAGACGCACCGCAGAATTGAAACGAGCGCGGCAGAGGAAAGGTGCCGGGCGCTGGGGCGGGTGCTCGGGCACTGGCCCTGTGAGCCTCCCCGGACTGGGGCCTGGCCGCAAACTGAAGGAGCAGAGTAAGCTCCTGGGCCTCCGGGCAGTGACCCCCGGGCACGGCTGCAAAGTGCGGCAGTGATGTTTGCAAGCAACACTTAGAGCGAGAGTCGCTGGTCCTGGTGGCTCCCTAGGTGCATCAGGGGCCGTTTTCAGGTCGGAGAGGAGCTGACACTCATTCCTGTTTTCACAGATACTATTACAACAAGAGGATCCTTCATAAAACAAAAGGGAAAAGGTTTACTTACAAATTTAACTTCAACAAGCTGGTGATGCCCAACTACCCGTTCCTCAACGTGCGGTCGAGTGGTAAGATGCAAAGTCTCTTCGTGGGAAATGAATTTTGAGTCAAAAAAGAATCTTAGAAACTCGCGAGTAAGGCTGGCACGTGTGAGGGGTGCTTGGAGACAGGTCGCGTGGCCCGCGGCGTGTCCTCCCCTCGTGCCGAGAGCGATGGGCTCGGCGGCATCGGGAGAGCCTGTTTGGTCGGCTTTGTGGTTCCCTCTTGTGCATATTATTTGTGGTCTCCTAGGTGTCCTCTTTGGGAATTGTGTCCCATGCGTTTGTGTCGATCTTGAAGTTCGGGATTTATTTTAACATCCTACCTAGTGGTTCTTTCATAGACGAAAACTCGTTTCTACAGACACTTCCGATTTTCTATGAAACTACCAAACTCTTCCTTATCAAGTGGCTGTCATCAAAACCACAGCATCCTTGATCACAGAAAGGGAGGTTTGTATGTTTGCAGTGAAACGCAGTGTCTTTGATCTGCACCACCAGCTCCTCAGAGAACAAGCAAGGCTTCCCCCCGGGGTCTGGCGACAGCCTCCCTCACAGCTCCGCACCAGCGTCAGATCTGCCTGTTGGTGCAGGAGGCGGCCCCTTGCAAGGGCATCTGCTCGTTCTAGACGCAGATCACACCCCAGCCCGAGAAAGCAGATTGCAGGAACTGGCTTCTGACCAGCCGTCGGCCCCGTCTTCGTGGCAGTGCAAAGGCGAGGAAGTCTGACTGGATTCTGCAGAGCTAGAACCTCTCAGAGGAAAGTCGGAACAGAAGGAAGAGCAGCAGGGGTGTGGCCGAGGGTGCCGCACTGAGATCCCCGGCAGACGCGTAGCCGCCACCCACACGAGTCGGGGCAGTTCGCTCCATGCTGCCATCTCTCCGCTCCTGTCTCTCATTCTCGTCCCTCCCTCCTGGCCCTGCGGCACACGTTTCAAAAAAAAGGTGGTATTGGAATGCACCAGTCTAATTACGACCTGTTTTCTCTCCTCGTGCCTGAGGGAGAGGCGTTAGGGAATGAAACCTGTTCTAGCTCCTTG